ATTTTAACCCTCTTACTCTGACAACAGTCTTGTTGTGAACTTCTGGGTGTTTTACTCAACCACTTGGGGGTGGACGGTCTCGCTTCCTGCAGATCGATGTTCAATCCCCGACTGTCCAAGTGCTTGGACGTCATTCCTTTTCCTCTGTCCCATCTCAAATCCTTATCCTGACCCCTTGGCGCTTTCCCCCTGATAATTTTCTTTCCTTCTGGGTGTTTTAAATTTTCACGAGTCATGGGAGGCAGGTGGTGTCAGTGGTTGTCATGGGAGGCAGGTGGTGTCAGTGGTTGTCATGGGAGGCAGGTGGTGTCAGTGGTTGTCATGGGAGGCAGGTGGTGTCAGTGGTTGTCATGGGAGGCAGGTGGTGTCAGTGGTTGTCATGGGAGGCAGGTGGTGTCAGTGGTTGTCATGGGAGGCAGGTGGTGTCAGTGGTTGTCATAGATCCCATAACAACCACTCACACCACCCACCTGCCTCTCATGACACCACTGACACCATCTACCACCCATAACAACCACCTGCCTCTCATGACACCACTGACACCATCTACCACCCATAACAACCACCTGCCTCTCATGACACCACTGACACCATCTACCACCCATAACAACCACCTGCCTCTCATGACACCACTGACACCATCTACCACCCATAACAACCACCTGCCTCTCATGACACCACTGACACCATCTACCACCCATAACAACTACCTGCCTCTCATGACACCATCTACCACCCATAACAACCACCTGCATCTCATGACACCATCTACCACCCATAACAACCACCTGCCTCTCATGACACCATCTACCACCCATAACAACCACCTGCCTCTCATGACACCATCTACCACCCATAACAACCACCTGCCTCTCATGACACCATCTACCACCCATAACAACCACCTGCCTCTCATGACACCATCTACCACCCATAACAACCACCTGCCTCTCATGACACCATCTACCACCCATAACATCCACTCACACCACTGGACTTATTCGGTAAATATTCGTTAATCTTCTGTATATATATATGAGATACCATTTTTTTCTTTCCATACAGAAGGGCAGGGGAAGTGGTGCTGCCTTGTTTGCAGGGTCGTCTTATGCAGCAAATATAGGCCTAAAACTGAAATATACTCCTATTTTTTTTTTTGGGGGGGGGGGGGGTTGACCTATGCGCCAGATCGACTTGTTCGCCGGCATATACGGTACCTAGGTTTTTTATTTATGTTGAAGGTTCTCTTGACTATTCCTAGATTTTTTTTACTGCTGCTTCCACTTGTTGTGAAACCTTTAGTGATTAGTGGATGCTGACTCCAAGGTCTTTATCTTAAACAATCTGTTGCAAGGTACTGTTGTTGATCTAGTAGATGTTGGTGGAACATTGTTATACTCCAAATGCAAGGCCATGCACAATTCCACATTATTAAAAATCATTTCCAGTCTTCCAATAATTTGTGGAGTTCATGTAGATCTCTTTGCAAGACCTCAAAGTAATTTTCACTTCCTACGATTCCATAAATCCAATCCATCATTCTGTTTAGATAGTAATTTATGCGACTATGTAGACAATCATACATATACTGAATTGATATTTTGGACAATTAGATAGTAGAATTTGGTACTATTCACTTTATAAGAGTCCAGAAAAATAAAGGTAACAACCAAATCTATATATTCCTAGGCCTAGTAAATCCTATATTATGAACTTTATTAGGCCTAGTACATATAGGATGTGTGACGGTGTTCCCCCTCCCCTATATTTCTCCCACGCCAGCTGTAAGAGTCATATCCACTTTACCCGAGCGTTCTCTACGTTACGGGCAACAGTTTGATATATGTGGGAGCACGAAGTGTTCTCGCGGTGGCGAGAAATTCGTAAAAGACGAGAAATTTGGCCTTTGGTTTAGGCCCTTTAGGACGCCAATATGGGGCCCACCCCCCTCCGTTTTGCTGCCAAAACTGTGTGACGTCAGTGGCACCAGATTGGTCACTAACAGTGACGTGGCACAGGGAGCCAATGAAAATCGCCCCTGGCAAGTATGACGTCACGAAGGCAGGGGGACCGGTGATCGCGCCTCTTTGGCGCCACCAGTCTGACACGACATGTCAAGGTGGACGGATGTGCGAAGGTTGGTCCTGTCAGAATTTGACAGTTGTACCCCGCTCTCATGGATTTTATGCATCACCCGTAGTCTGCAAGTACGCTGAGAGGTCTTCCTTCATTCCATGTGTGGACCGAAGAGGGAATCGACGGAATATTGAGCATCAAGTGCTCCAGGAACAGGTACTGTGCAAGAGTGAAGACTAGACAGTGACGTCTGATAGCTTCACAGTGACGACATAGCGGCTGGGCCAATCCACCGGGAAGCAGTGAAAGAAGAAAACTAATTGGGAATCAGGACGACTGCAGCCGAGAAGTAGGTTGGCAGCCGTAGTTGTGAGGAGAAGTTGACGGCCGGGAGACCGACTCCAACCCTGCAAGACGTTGTGGAGGAGCACGGATCTGCGGAGGACAGAGCACGGTGACGACGCATTTATTTTGGGACGTTGATTGGGTTCCTGGAGAACACATCAGTGTGTGTGTGGGGGGGCATTCCTTACACCGAGGTGAAAGCCGGGACCAGGAGCTACAATTCAACTCTCACCGGAGGGCGAGTCTACATCAGTGAGGTGGAAGTAGGTGATTCTAGTTTCCCTCCCAATTCCCCTTTAGTCAGCTATATATTTAGCCAGAGTATCTTTCATGTCGTGAGCAAGGCTCACTAATGTCTATGTCATGGTAGGACACAGTTGTGAGAAGTGAGGCTGTAGAAAGCTCTCACGGTATATATATGTGTGGTGTGTGGATGCACCTGGAATTATTGAGGAATTTACTGTGTCGTTGATGATTTCTTTCATGTGACATTAATATGATAACTTATGCCAGAGAATAAATATATAATTGTACCAGTTATTGGTGTTAGGCTGTGTGCCCAGTATTTATCTTATTATTATTGATATTGATGAATTTATCTCTATATATGTATATGTTGGTGTGTTGAATAACATTTCCATGTGTGCAGTGATTAATTGTGTTATCGCCTGCGAAAGGAATTACTGTGTCTAAGGCCAGTACCATGATTTAATTGCATTCATCATCATTATTATAATGCGTTGTGTATAACGTCTTTACAGTGAATTATCGTGTTTATTGCTGTAGAAACGATTTATTGAGCTTGAGACCAGTGAAGTGACTCATTGCGTTCTATTGTCATTATAGCAAATATTGTGTTGATTGCAAATATGGAGATTACTGTGAATTTAAAAAAACAAGGCGCATAGCGCCAGGAAAACAAGTACACAAGCATTGGCACGGTGAAGGGGGTCGCCCAGCTGACATTGACAGGAGGGGGGGAGTATTGCCCTCTAGACAAGCCCCAGTTTTATGAAGAGAGAGTGACTTTCTGCATTGTACTTGATGTTTCGTTGTTGATACGGATATAATACCTTGAAGTTTTAAAGTAAAATACAAAATACCTTTGCGTTTGTAATATCCCTCCATATATCTTGATGCTATAGAACAGTTCCAAAGAGTGAGAGTATTAGAGACATATACTTGCCTGAGACCAGAGTTAATGAGTAAGCTCTCTGCCATTAGTACCACAATTCCACAATACCACTGACGTGTTACTGGACACGGGAAACACCAGTTGGCGACCTTGCAGTTAGTAGTAGAGCCCTTGTCGGGGCGGGCACATGGTTGGGAGAGAGCAAACTGTGTTCCCACTCATCTTTGGCTATAAGGCTGGCTGGGGATCGACTGGGATACTTTCCTGGCGAACAGTGGCGCTGCGAGGATTGAGTGAAGACCCGAAGGGCTATGGTGAGTAACAGTTATCGCTAATACTACTGGGTGGTGTCCATGTACAGAGAGAGACACCTCGACGTTGACAGGATATCAAGAACGGTTACTTATACTTACAACTAAGATAAACCCCGACATTGGCGATCTTGCCAGGTGTCCGGGATAAAGATCTTGTGTACACTGTTACTCGCTTACAGGACGTTCCCCGACATTGGCGAACCTTGCTAGGATAAAGTACTTAGGATATCATGTATACTGTTACTTACACGACGTTCTCCGACAGATGGTTATGCTAGGCTAGGTTTTGTTAGCAACATAAATACAAAACCTTATCCGGTTTGTCAAAATTCAATAGTACTCAATTTTATTTCCTAAATGTCCATTGCTTCAAAATATGTACAATGATCCCCCGTGTTACTGTAAGCACTATCTAAACAGAAGAATAGACTGCACAAATCTTAAGAGATTTAAAAATTGAATTGTCAGGGAAAAATTGAATTGGAGAGAATTGTCAGAGGAAAGCGCCAAGCCATTACTACTATATAGCACTTGGAAGGGGTCAGGATAAGGATTTGGGATGGGACGGAGGAAAGGAATGGTGCCCAACCACTTGGACGGACGGGGATGGAACGCCGACCTGCATGAAGCGAGACCGTCATACTACCGTCAAGTCCAAGTGGTTGGGATAAATCTTGAGACATCGACAATTATGATAATGTGGCTTGCAATATTCTCGTCTATGTGACTCATGTATGTGACAAAGCCCCAATAACCTTGTGGCGCCCCACTTACTACATATCGTCTGTCAGATTCAGTTGCCAGTACCCCTAGTATATAGAAAAAAATATATATGTTAGACATAGTATTCTAACAATGAGTCACAATAACGTGGCTGAAGATATAATGACCAAACCACACATCAGAAAACAAAAAAAGACGACGTTTCGGTTCATCTGGACGATTTATCAAGTCTTGTGATCAGCTTGATATTGGTCCGTGTTGATAATTGTCCAGGACGGACCCTAAACGCCGTCGTTTCTTCATTTTCTGATCTGTGGTTTGGTCATCATAGGCCTGGTATTGTTTACTTAGGCCTAGCAGCTCCTCAAGATAACACAGGCATGGGTAGCATTAAGTAAACACGCTTAAGTGCTTATAAATGACTTTTTTCTTTGTAATTCATATATTATTTTTTTTAACAGAATATCAATGACTAAAAATCTAGAAGAAGACAAACAGAATCTTTAATTTTTACTTGTTAATTCAGTCACTGTCAGTCAGCAACTGGCTTTACTTAATATTAGTGTTTTGCGTAAGATACGATCAGACGAGGACGAGGGGTCTTGATAACTATGTATGCAGAACTTCAATATATTGGTTAACAGAATAGACAAATATAGCAACTTATAAATCTATTTATAATTACTTATATCCTAGTTTATATAAAAAAATCTAGAAAACTTTCAAGCAAAGATATTATGATCTAAGCTGAAGTATAATCGAAGTGTATAACCAAGCTTACTCTTAATACAAAAATGAGGTTTGGATTCACAAACTAATATCGCCACTAATTACTAGAAGGTTATCTTAGGGTGTTGTGCTGTTCTGCCTTTATTGTGTGCTGTTCTTCATTTATTGTGCGTTGGCCTGCATTTCTTATGACTTGTTCTACTTTTATTGCCTGTTGTTCTACATGTCTTGTGCTTTGTTCTACTTGTATTGAGCCCTGTTCTTTATTTGCATTGTTCTTTATTTATTGCACTGTTCTTTATTTATTGCAGTGTTCTTTATTTCCATTGTTCTTTATTTATTGCTTTGTTTTTTATTTATTACATTGTTTTCTTATGTTATGTACATTTTTTATAATTTTTTATGTGTTTTTTGCAAGTCATGTGTATTGTTTTGCATTTATTGTTGGTATTCAGCATTTATTTCATGAGGTTCTTAATGGCTTTTGCATTATTTTTTAATTATCGTGTGTTGTTTTGCTGGTCTTATGCATTATTCTTTGTTTATTGTCTTGTGCGTTGTTATGCATATCTTGATACGTTCATACAAGTTGTGCCATCTTGAGGTTGACAGTTGTTGGGAGACAACTGTGGAGTCAAGGTGTCAACTCGTCCAAGTGAGCTGGAACATCTTAGGGTGTGTTTCCCGGACAGGTTCCAAGCATTCGTGATAGATGAAAGTATTCTAGACGTGTGTAATGCTGGTTTTATTAAGGAATATTACACAGCGCCTCTACTGGCTGAAATAATTTCATAGATAATATGAAAACGCTCTTATTAATTGCTCCTACTGCGTACCCTATTGCCCATCCTACAGTGTATACTTTTGCCCCTCCTGCAGAGTGCCCTTTGTTCCTCCTGACCTTAGTTCATGCACTCCTTGCCACAGCCAGCAACAAGACAACACTTGTGGCCCCTGCCAGTCGTCCGACACTCCTGGTCAGAGGTACACTGGTCGTAGTATTGAATGCAGACCCTTCCGAACGAGTTGGGATCCGGACAGCTACTCCTGTGGAAAGTTCGTATTAGAAGTCGGAAATGGAAGAAAATGGGTTATAGAAACACTGATAATTAAGGTATATTAAGGGGGCATATCAAAAAATATCGTTATAAATTAAAATTGTTCAATTTGCTTATAATTTTTTTTATGAAATGGTTATAGAAAGGGCTGCAACTGGTCCAAGTTTCACCATCACACCCTAAACAGAAAAGGAGAAAAAAAAATACACAACGTATTATGCAACGAATGTTCAACATTCTCAAATAATCTCAGGGAACACATGTGTCAACTAAAATGTCTACTATGTGCTGTAGAAGCACAAACTCTTGTAATAATTGTAATATGTATGTGCAATATATTTATATTTAAATTTTTTTTTTCTTTTTCTTTTTTTTTTGGGCCAATTTTTTTTCTCGTTTATTATCAAGGGATTTGCATGAAACTTGCACACCTTGCTCAATGGATGCCTATCTGCAAGGGTGCCAATTATGAACGAAATCTGTCGAAGTCAAGCTCAGCTACAGGTGGCCGAACTTGGATCTTTATTTTACTCTGGAAAGTAATTTACACCTTCAAATTACTTCAGAGCTTTCATTTATTAATCAATGTACATGCAAATTACACCTTATATGTAGCGTTTGTGCTTCTACAGACTCCAGTAGACATTTTAGTCCAAAGTCTATTTGTTGATTTTATAAAAATTTATAAAGATCATATATTGCATATTTTTTTAGTAGGGTAACTTTGAAAAATTATATTATTGCACTAAACACTTTTTTGATAAAACTGATCACTAGAATCCTTTATTATCTGCTTAATTTAATATCTGAGTGTTATAGAAATGATTTTAGTTGACACATGTGTTCCCTGAAACTATTTGAAAATTCGTTGCATAATTCGTTGTTATTTTTTTTCTCCTTTTTTGTTTAGGGTGTGATGATGAAACTTGGACCAGCTGCAGCCCTTTCTATAACCATTTCATAAAAAAATGTATAAGCAAATTGAACCACTTTTAATTTTACATCGATATGCCCCCTTAAATTAAGACTTAAAACTAATAAACAAGAGATATGAATTAAATTAGTTTTTATCAAGCTTTGCTATCTCCAATACAGATCATTTTTGTGTGATTTGGCGTTTTATGCGTATTATACAGTCCACCTTCAGTGGACTGTATAATACGTTTGTTATGTGTTCCACTTAACTCCACAGGGTTTGAATTTATTATTAAATAAACTTAATGTATGAACCTAAGTATTTGGTCAGTTCAGTTGACTGAATATAACTCAAATAATTTAACTTTCAAAGGATCAGCATCTTGGCATTGACTCTTCCTCCTGTATGTATGATTGTCGCTGAATGGGCTAAATATTATTTGAGAATTAATAATTACTTAATTATGGTCTAGTTTATCTGAGTTAGGTTAAGGAGGGAGACAGAAAGAAACAGAGACAGATACACAAAGAGAAGGAGAAGGAGAGACAGGCAGGGAAGAGATAGATAGATAGAAAGAGAGGGACAAAGAAAGAAGAGAGAGACCGAGGGACAGACAGAGGAGAGAGAGACAGACAGAAGGAGAGAGACAAAGATTAGGACAGAGATAGCGAGAGAGAGAGAGAGAGAGGGAGGGGGAGAGAGAGAGAGAGAGAGAGAGAGAGAGAGAGAGAGAGAGAGAGAGAGAGAGAGAGAGAGAGAGAGAGAGAGAGAGAGAGAGAGAGAGAGAGAGAGAGAGAGAGAGAGAGAGAGAGAGAGAGAGAGACAGAGAGAGAGAGAGAGAGAGAGAGAGAGAGAGAGAGAGAGAGAGAGAGAGAGAGAGAGAGAGAGAGAGAGAGAGAGAGAGAGAGAGAGAGAGAGAGAGAGAGAGAGAGACAGACAGAGACAGAGACAGACAGAGAGACAGAGGGAAAGGCAGAAATGAGGAGAGGCAGAGACAGAGAGATAGAAACAGAAAGAACGAAACAAACAGCAAGAGAAAGAGACAGACAGAAGGAAACAGAGAGAGAGAGAGAGAGAGAGAGAGAGACAGAAGGAAACAGAGAGGCAAGGCGAGAGACAGAGAGACACGGGTGAGTAGGAGACTGGACGAGCGGCTGGGTGACATGTTGCATATCTAGGAGTGAGGCGCACATTGGCTGGCTACAGTCCCTCGCCCACGGTCACAGTCACAACACCTAGGGGGGAGGGGGGGGGGGGAAATAGCCTATCCCTTTGAGATGTATTTTTTCTTGTCACAATAAACATAATTTAACCTGAACTTGAACTGCAAAACCGTTTCTGTCTGCAAGACAGTTTCATATTTCATAATGAGATCCTCCCGTACACACCAACAGTGTTTGTAATATTGTTTACCTATCAGTACTTCCCACACACACACACACACACACACACACACACCAGAATCTCACACACCTTGGGACACAAACAAACACACCAAACACACACACAAACATCCCAAACACACTACACACACACACACACCAAATATAGTACAAACAGAAACACACCCACATCACATACACAAACATACCAAACACACAAACACTCCAAACACACTCAAACATACTAATCACACACACACACACACACACACAAAGTTAGAAAAGGTTCAGAGGTAGGCCACCAGGCTAGTCCCCGAGCTGAGAGGGATGAGCTACGAGGAAAGATAGATATCCCTCTCCCCCTCTCCCCCCCTCTCCCTCCCTCTCTCTCTCTCTCTCTCTCTCTCTGTTACGGCCCTCTCGGGTCGCAACTGGGTTCGTACTCTGATGTCGTTAGAGGAAGGGTATCCGGCCCCAAGCCAGTAGTGGCTTTCAAGGGATGCGATCCGTAACGCAAGTAACTTAAAGGGGAAGGGAAATAAAGTCAAGAGCTTAATACTATAATTATTACCATCACCAATAAATAATATATAAAAAGATTACACAGGGGGAGGGGTATTAACACTGCACAGGGGACTTATTTACACTGTAGTCTTCTTCTGAAGACTCGGGATGTTCTTGATGCCAAGTTCTCGGTGCTCTCGTGGTCTCTCGACGAATCCTTCGACAAGCTGAGTCTACCCCGGACACAGGCCAGCCAAAACACAGTTCCACTGGGGGCACCGCCATGGAGGCCGTCAACCACAAGTCCAGCAAACTGCTGGCAGGTTCTGGATCAGCAACGCTGTTCAGGCCACTCCACGAGCGATACTAGGGTAGCGCCCTAGTCAGGAGCCTCGTGTGATACCACAGATCACTCTCCTGTCCACAATACCCCAGTGGTCAATCGTCTCCAGCAGTCGGTTCCGGGTACGACAATCCTTCAACTGCCACTTCACTGGCAGGGTAACACCACGGTGTTCCTCCGGGAGGCGACTCACAGCTGCTGCAGCAAAGCACAAGGTATGGGGACAGCTGCCTTGGGTAGACTGACTCAACTTCCCTTACAGCAGTCCCAGGTCGACTCTGTAAGCAGACACGTCATCAATAACAGGGACACACCAAAGCACCTCACTTACAGGCTCAGACCCAAACGCCCACCTATCCACTCCATAGATGGCGTTGTTGTCTGAGCACCACCTCACCAGAGGTCAGCGGCGGCTGTGTTGTGAGCTGAACAGGACTGGAAACTGGCCCTTATGGCCGGTACACCTCGTCCTTGCCAGGTGTCGTCGTCCATTTGGAGGGGGTTTCGGGAGCTGACCCACAGATGGCGCGGTCGTCACTGCTCCGTGCTCGGACGCTGGATCCGGGTCCGTAACACTCTCTCTCTCTCTTCTCTCTCTCCCTCTCCCCCTCTCTCTCTCTCTCTCTCTCTCTCTCTCTCTCTCTCTCTCTCTCTCTCTCTCTCTCTCTCTCTCTCTCTCTCTCTCTCTCTCTCTCTCTCTCTCTCTCTGGTACAAGGACAACATACCAATCAGACACGCTAAAAACATTAACAAGGACAACATACAAACAGTGTACTTACCCAGCATAGTGTGTGCGCTGAGATGTTGTTCCCACAACAACAATCTGATAAAACAACAAAACATTTATTATTAATATATATGGCTCGTATAACTGCAAGTAATTTAGGATGATTTAATAACTTTAACGTTTATGAAATGTTTGCAAAGTCCATCTGGTCCTACTTACCAAATCTCTTGCCTAATGTTTTGCCCAACCTCTAGTCCAGTCTCTCACCCAATGTCTTGTCCAACCTCTAGTCCAGTCTCTTACAAAATATTTTGTCCAACCTCTAGTCCAATCTCTCTTCCAATGTCTTGTCCAACCTCTAGTCCAGTCTCTCACCCAATGTCTTGTCCAACCTCTAGTCCAGTCTCTCGCCCAATATATTGTCCAACCTCTAGTACAATCTCTCTTCCAATGTCTTGTCCAACCTCTAGTCCAGTCTCTCGCCCAATATATTGTCCAACCTCTAGTCCAGTCTCTCACCCAATGTCTTGTCCAACCTCTAGTCCAGTCTCTCGTCCAATATATTGTCCAACCTATAGTACAATCTCTCTTCCAATGTCTTGTCCAACCTCTAGTCCAGTCTCTCGCCCAATATATTGTCCAACCTCTAGTCCAGTCTCTCATCCAATGGCTTGTCCAACCTCTAGTCCAGTCTCTCGCCCAATATATTGTCCAACCTCTAGTCCAGTCTCTCATCCAATGGCTTGTCCAACCTCTAGTCCAGTCTCTCACCAAATGTCTTGTCCAACCTCTAGTCCAGTCTCTCACCCATTGTCTTGTCCAACCTCTAGTCCAGTCTCTCACCCAATGTCTTGTCCAACCTCTAGTCCAGTCTCTCTTCCAATGTCTTGTCCAACATCTAGTCCAGTCTCTCGCCCAATGTCTTGTCCAACCTCTAGTCCAGTCTCTCACCCAATGTCTTGTCCAACCTCTAGCCCAGTCTCTCACCCAATGTCTTGTCCAACCTCTAGTCCAGTCTCTCACCCATTGTCTTGTCCAACCTCTAGTCCAGTCTCTCACCCATTGTCTTGTCCAACCTCTAGCCCAGTCTCTCACCCAATGTCTTGTCCATCCTCTAGTCCAGTCTCTCGCCCAATGTCTTGCCCAACCACTGACCTAGTCTCTTGCTAAATTTCTTTCCTATTTATTTGCCCAATCTCTTGCACAATCTATTGTATAACCTTTTGTATAGTCATTTGGAGAATCCGTTTCATTAATCTCTTGACCACTCTCATGCCCAATCACTTTAATTATATCTTTCCTAATATTTGGCTCAACCTCAAGCTATTTTCTGCTGCCAATGTTTTGCTCATTCTATTGCTCACTCTGTTTGCTCAATCTCTTGCCAATCAATTTCGTAATCTCTTGCTCAATCTTTCAACTAATTTCCTGCTCTTTTGCGTAACCTCTTGGCCAATCTCTTGTTCAATCGGTTAATCAACTCTTGCACAATAACTTTCCCAATCTCTTGCTCCTTTTCATATCTTGGCCAATCTCTTATCCAATCTCTGGCTCAATCTCTTGTTTATTTGTTTTACTTTCTCAGTGGTATAGTGCTGAACTATTGAACCACCACACTACAAGGTTTAGTTCTGCACCACTGAACCACAACATTTCAAAGTTGTGTACTTTACAACTGAACCACCACACCACAATGGTTGACTGCTGTACTACTGAACCACCACTCCACAATGGTTAACTGCTGAACCACTGAACCACCACCCCACAATGGTTAACTGCTGAACCACTGAACCACCACTCCACAATGGTTAACTGCTGAACCACTGAACCACCACTCCACAATGGTTAACTAATGTACCACTGAACCACCACCCCATAAAGTTGACTGCTGCACCAATCAACTCATTCTTTCTGACCTCAAAGAGTGTGGGATCCACTGCCACCCGCAGGAAGGGGTTCATTACCACTCACAGGAGGGATATGGGGTCTATAACCACGTAAAGGAAATGGTTCTGAAACCCTTTCAAGGATGGCTATGGAGGGGTGGGGGGTGTCCACTGCCACTCACAAGATGGCTATGGGGTTCACGTCCACTCACCGAATGGCTTAGGGGTCCACTACCATTCACGAGATGGATATGGGGTCCACTGCCACTAACAGGATAGGTATGGGGTCCACTGCCACTCACAGGATTCATGGGGTTTCATGGGATTCATGGGATTCATGGGGTTCACTGCTTCTCACAAGAAGGATATGGGGGTCCAATTCCACTCTGAGGAAGGCCATGGGGTCCACTGTTACTCACAAGATGGATATGGGGTTCACTGTCACTCACAGGAGGGCTATGGGGTTCACTGTCACTCACAGGATGGCCATGGGGTTCACTGACACTCACAGGATGGACATGGGGTTCACTGTCACTCACAGGATGGATATGGGGTCCACTGTAACTCTCAGGAAGGCTATGGGGTCCACTGTCACTCACAGGATGGCTATGGAGTTCACTGCCGCTCGCAGGATAGGTATGGGGGTACACTGCCGCTCGCAGGATAGGTATGGGGGTCCACTGCCGCTCGCAGGATAGGTATGGGGGTCCACTGCCGCTCGTAGGATAGGTATGGGGGTCCACTGCCGCTCGCAGGATAGGTATGGGGGTCCACTGCCGCTCGCAGGATAGGTATGGGGGATCACTGCCGCTCGCAGGATAGGTATGGGGGTCCACTGCCGCTCGCAGGATAGGTATGGGGGTCCACTGCCGCTCGCAGGATGATTATTGGATGTAATACCAAACACAGGATAGGGATAATGTCCAATACCACTCACAGGATGGATATGGGATGTATGATAAATTAAGTCAATAAACAATATTAAATAAGATTGTCATTGAATACTGACCTCTTCCCTCTGGAACCAAGGCATTAAAATGCTTCACTCACCGCAAACAACAGAGCTGAGAGCAGCAAGAGCTTCATCGTGGCTTCTGCTGGAGAGGTGAAGGTGTTGACGACTGCTTGAGGGAAGGTGGTACTGACCAAGACCTTTGGCAGGTGAATGGTTCAGTAGGTGTTGCTGGCGGGACACGTGTGGCTGGTGTGGGGTTCCCCGGGCGCTTAAGGATGTACTGAGAGATGGTCCCCAAGGAGAGCGCTGGCACCTCTCACAGTTCCCTGGGTCCGCGCTGCGTAAAAACTGGAACTGTGTTGTCAAGCCCGAGCCGCAGCTAACCAGTCCAGGACGACGCATAATATGACTCGTTTTCTTAACACATTGGTCGACCTGGCAACCTCTGGGTTCCTGGAACACTGCTGAGTCTCTCCTGAACGTGTTCCTCTTCCACAACACTGATTACCTCACACTGCTTAACTAACTTTGTTTATATAGCAGTGTTACCCTAACAGTGCCTATAGCAGTGTTACCCTAATAGTGCTTATAGCAGTGTTACCCTAACAGTGCTTATAGCAGTGTTACCCTAACAGTGCTTATAGCAGTGTTACCCTAATAGTGCTTATAGCAGTGTTACCCTAACAGTGCTTATAGCAGTGTTGCCCTAACAATGCTTATAGCAGTGTTACCCTAACAGTCCTTATAGCAGTGTTACTCTAACAGTGCTTATAGCAGTGTTATCCTAACAGTGCTTATAGCAGTGTTACTCTAACAGTGCTTGTATAGCAGTGCATACCTAATTGGGCCTATATATCAGTGCTTATTTAGCATTGTTTACATAGCAGTGTTAGCCTAATAGTGCTTATATAGCAGTGATTGTATAACAGTGCTAATATAGCAGTGCTTACTTTACATTGTTTATATATATATATATATATATATATATATATATATATATATATATATATATATATATATATATATATATATATATATATATATATATATATATATATATATATATATATGCAATTGACGATCACAAAACACTGATCATTTTATGCGGAAAATCCACAGAGAAATATGAAATGAGGTGAACGTTTCGGCTTTGTTAAAGCCTTTGTCAACACCAGACTGAGTCTGGTGTTGACTGGTGTAAAGCCTTTGTGTTGACAAAGGCTTTAACAAAGCCGAAACGTTCACCTCATTTCATATTTCTCTGTGGATTTTCCGCATATATATATATATATATATATATATATATATATATATATATATATATATATATATATATATATATATATATATATTAGTATATTTTGGTAGCAGTCTTTCCTGTAGACATATATTATTAAATATGACCGAAAAAGTAAGATTAATAATTCTAACACGAATTTTCTCTATCTTTCTTACATTTCTTTTCACTGTTGATGGTAATTCAAAGATCAATTCTCCAAAATTCATTTTTATTTCTAGTCTGACGCGACACTTGAGCGCGTTTCGTAAAACTTATTACATTTTCAAAGACTTTAGTTTACAAACACACAACTGAAACTGAATAGAGCTTACACATTTTCGAGTTTATATCTACATATGGGTGAGGTGGATGAGGTGAAAACAAACTTTCAACAATGGGTATTGAATGGGTATTAAATTCAAACACAAGACAGAACACGAAACAATGGGTATTGAATGGAAGCAATTGTAGAAAGCCTATTGGTCCATATTTCTTGATGCTTCTATATTGGAGCGGAGTCTTGAAGTGGGTAGAATATAGTTGTGCATTAATTGGCTGTTGATTGCTGGTGTTGACTTCTTAATGTGTAGTGCCTCGCAGTGGGGCTCCAAAGTCCACGAGAATAGTTAATATGAGAGCAGAGTTAAAATTACCTACCATAAGTGAGAGAATTTTGTCTATTAGCACAGTTTTCGGCGTGAAGGCATTGAATAGATCTAGACAACACATGAAGTTTCAAGCTAAACTTTCTAATATGCTGCACTCACCTGAGGTCTATAGAAGAAGAACGAAATCTGATTATGTATATTGATTCTACAAGGTAGCCAACTCCATCAAAATATTAAATATGTACCCAACTCAACTAATGATTAATCAGCCAACTACTCCATGGGATAACTGGGATCTATCAGTTGATTTTGTAAATGCGCCCAAGAAAGATAGTGTGCACACCACATTATTAAAACAGTTAACACTGAAAAGCATCACTGAAAGTACTCAGAGTATGGGTAACGATGTTTATCAGTGCTATACCGACGGCTCTGTAGAAGAAGGTGGACGATGTACCGGATGTGCATGTAACATATTTGAACAATCTTCTCTCGTACATACAGCAATGAAGCGCGTCAATGACTGGGCAAGTACAACTCAAACCGAACTTGCAGGCATATACCTTGCCACTGAATTTTTAAAAGACAAAGGCAGTGGACTTATATACTGTGACTCGCAGAGTGCACTCCTGGCACTGAATGCACATAGTAGTGACACCCAGAAAATAGTCAGTGATATTCGAATGAATGTTTTAGCTGCTAAAGAAAACAGATTTGAGATTAAATTCCTATGGATACCATCACATGTTGGCATCTCAAGGCATGACACTGTTGATATGCTTGCTAAGACAGCCTGCAGAAAACCAGTAGTAGAAATTGATATGGGTGTTTCATTAGCAGTGACAAAGAGAATACTTAAACAAATATCTAATGAAAATCTCACCGACCTAACAAATTCACAAAGACCTGAAAGTTGTAGCATTAAATATTATGATAGATATCGTGAGGAGACATTCACATATGGGACTAATAGAACAAGAACCCGGCAATGTGATGTTATAGTGGCCAGAATACGCCTGGGATATAGACGTATCTGGCAGCTTTCTCAAAACCCAAATGTCGAGTACACAATGTGTCAACTTTGTGAAAGAGAAAACATGCACTCTCTTGAACATTATATTGTAGAATGTCCCATACTGACTGACTTTCGCCCTCCTGGGCTAAGGTATGCTGAACTCTGTAGTTACTATATGAGTACCGGAACACTTGATGATATATTGGACTTGTATCCAAGATTGACCATGTAATATATCACTTATTCAATGTTATATTCAATATATCATTTATTCAATGTTATATGATGTAACTATATAACCTGAGCTTGTAAAAGCACCTTCATCACCTTCAGTGATTAAGTGCTTAATTGCACACTAGTTTCTTTATCAGCTATCTCACCCTGTCAGAGTAAATGAGACAGATGTATGTGAATGCATGTGTGTGTATATGTATGTATATGTATGGGTATAAAGTATATATGGAAGCTGATCAGAATTACATTTCACCTTTGTGAATGTACATTAATGACACTATGTAAAAGACACATCAAACACTTTATGTAGGGCATACGTAAATCTGTGTATCTATGTATTTACGTATGTAGGTTAGCTTAGCATTTTAAAAGCACCGAATCACCTTCTGTGGTTGAGTGTTCAATAAACCCCTGAACTCTATGTTTAACATTTCTCTAACCCTGTCCATGGAGGACATAAGAAAATGTATATATGTTGGTTAGCATTGTAAATGTGTGGCCACGTCTGTGGTAGAAAATAATAAAAAAAAAAAAAAAAAAAAAAAAGTGCCTCGCAGACGTCAAGCCGTCTGCTATCGCTGTATCTTATCGATGATTTCTGTGTTGTTTGCTAAGATTTCTCTGGTGATGGTTTGTTTGTGGGAAGAGATTATATGTTCCTTAATGGAGCCCTGTTGTTTATGCATCGTTAAACGCCTGGAAAGAGATGTTGTTGTCTTGCCTATATATTGTTTTTTTTGAGGCTTACAGTCCCCAAGAGGGCATTTGAAGGCATAGACGACGTTGGTCTCTTTTAAAGCGTTCTGCTTTGTGTCTGGAGAGTTTCTCATGAGTAGGCTGGCCGTTTTTCTGGTTTTATAGTAAATCATCAGTTGTATCTTCTGATTTTTGTCTGTGGGATAACGTTTCTACTGACAATATCTTTCAGGACCCTTTCCTCCGTTTTATGGGCTGTGGAAAAGAAGTTCCTGTAAAATAGTCTAATAGGGGGTATAGGTGTTGTGTTAGTTGTCTCTTCAGAGGTTGCATGGCGTTTCACTTTCCTTCTTATGATGTCTTCGACGAAACCATTGGAGAAGCCGTTGTTGACTAGGACCTGCCTTACCCTACAGAGTTCTTCGTCGACTTGCTTCCATTCTGAGCTGTGGCTGAGGGCACGGTCGACATAAGCGTTAACAACACTCATCTTGTACCTGTCCGGGCAGTCACTGTTGGCATTCAGGCACATTCCTATGTTTGTTTCCTTAGTGTAGACTGCAGTGTGGAAAACTCCGCTCCTTTCCATGACAGTTACATCTAGAAAGGGCAGCTTCCCATCCTTCTTCATCTCGTAAGTGAAACGCAACACAGAATTCTGCTCAAATGCCTCCTTCAGCTCCTGCAGATGTCTGACATCAGGTACCTGTGTAAAAATGTCGTCAACATACCTGCAGTATATGGCCGGTTTCAAGTTCATGTCGACTAAGACTTTTTGCTCGATGGTACCCATGTAGAAGTTTGCAAACAGGACACCTAGGGGAGAACCCATGGCGACCCCATCTACTTGCTTATACATGTGTCCATCCGGGCTCAAGAAGGGTGCCTCTTTAGTACAAGCTTGGAGTAGTTTCCTTAGACTGTTTTCTGGTATGTCAAGAGGAGTACAGGCCGGATCACGGTACACTCTGTCGGCTATCATCCCGAATGAAACAATCGGGAAAAAGCAGTGTTTATCTAACAATGCTTATAATGCGGTGATTACCTAATTACCTGTTTATATAACAATTATTATATAGAAGTGCCTTCCTAGCATTATGTATATAGGCTATACATAATGGTTTGTATATAGGTTATACTAACAATGGTTATATAGCAGTGCTTATATAGTAGTATTTATCAATCACTGGTTATATAGCAGTGTTCACAGAGCAGTGTTTAAAGAGCAGTGCTTATGTAGCAGTGCTAACTTAACAGTGCTTATATCAGTGATAATACAGCAGTGCTTACATAGCAGTGCTTACCTAACAGAGCATATATAGCTGTGCTTTCCTAACATTGTTTTATATCAGTGCTTACCTAACAGTACTTATATAACAGTCCTTACCTCACAGAGCTTATATAACAATGTTAGCCTATGTTTATAAACAGCACTTAACT